TTTTATCCAACCTGGGCCGAAGAGTCCATCGTACGAAACCAGGTTAACTTATCTTAAAGGTTTCAACCTTTTGAATTTGTTTAACTCCAGCAGTTCTTAATAGCAATTAAGATTCTGCCTAATTTTATTTATATTTATACTTGAATTGAAGATTCCACCTGCCTTGCAATACTTTGATCTTGTTTTGCTATTATTTTTATCTGCAGCAATCTAAATATTGGCAATTCTGTTTTGAGATCTCAAAGCTTATCTATTGACTCAACAGCATTATTTCTTTCTAGAACAAGGTAGAAAAATTCGTGGCATCTAAAGATATTCTAAAGAAGACCATTCTAAAATCAATGAATTTTGAGTCTACTTGACCTCATATGAATTTTACATTTCATTTTTGGGTTTTAATAAAAAATAATTTAATTTTTATTAACATCTTTTTAAAGCATTTATTTTTATCATTTAGCATATTATTTTTAATAGAAATAGAATGATTTACAAATAATTTGTAAATTCACTTATAGAAAATGCTACGAAAGAATATCCTAAAAGGAGCTTTCATTTAACAGAACTACTCGCTTTTGGCTCTGAAGGTGGAGCATTTCTTGCTATTGCCAAGAATTGGGGCAAAAATCCTTAAAACGTTGTAATTAAAATACAAAAGAATATGAAAGCGAATGAGAAGGATTTTCTAAATAAATTAATAATATACTAAGATTAGTATGAAAGTGGAAATAATAAACAATACTTACCAAGCAATTTAATCAGAGTATTCGAGTGTTTTGAATGGAAAGAAAATAATTGTGTTTTAATGGAAGTTGGTGGTTAATCCTTGTTTGATTATATTACTATGAAAACGGATTTATAAATGGAAGAAAGAGTAAAAATTTGTTTTGAAGTAATATTTTAATAAATATAATGATAGATTTGCTACCCATTATACTTTTTACATTAATAGAAATTAATACATAGAGATATTAAACCTGAAAATTTCATTACGGTAGGAGAGATTTTTAAACTTATTGATTTTGGTTTGATTCGGAGTTCATTCTCTCAAAAAAAAACATAATAAGTAGGTAATGTGATCTCTCAAGCACCTGAAATTTTAGAGAATAGCAGCTCATATACAGAAAAAGTTGACATATGGTCATTAGGCTGCGTCTTTTATGAAGTATTATCAGGTTAAGCATTGCTTGATGCCCCCAAACACAATTATAATTTCAGGTTAAACTTATGATGAAATCACTACAGGAATTAAGAATCATAAACATTAACCTCAAAAAAAAAACCACCACACAAATTAATTATAAACTGAAAAAAGAGTAAAAGACATCTTAATTGAAATGATGACTTA